ACAATTCATAAATCCATCATTCTTTTTCAGAAAAGTGATAAACTGCACATTGATTATGGTCGTCCCGATGCAAGCACCGTAGGAACTAGGTAAAGTTCTTGAGAATTATCTTATCAGTGAAGAAAGCCCAAGAAGTTCTTCAATGCCTTTCCAAGTGTCCTCAGCCATAATGAAGAAAAATTACTGCCCATTAGGCAATCCTCCCAACAAACCTATTTTACTGAAACAAAATATGATTTCCACAGAAATCAGCTATAGCTAGTTGCTCTGAAAAGCAACTATTTTATACTCTGAAAATATTAAAAACAATTTGTCTAGTTGGTGATTACAAGCTTCCATGTGAATTAAAAAAGAGAGGGTCAAGAAAAGCTCCAAGGAGTGAATTTATAATATTTTAGACTAAAAATGAGTAAGATGGTGGGAATGACTTTCTAATGAGAAGAAGGCAAATGTAAGCTAAAGGCTAGTTGAGATATTCAGTGCTTCAGCAATTAGCTTAACAAAACAATTGCTAGATAAAAGGCCGTAAATGCTGTTAAAAATAGGACCAAAAACTGTCACTTTGCATAATTTTTTTTTCTTTCTTTCTTTTTCCTGTCACTAACTTGTGCCTGTTATGTACAAGCCTCATTAAAATTCTGCGGCCCCAGTTTCTTTGTGTTATGTGCTATTATGTTAATTTTCAACCTATTGTGAATTACTGAAATATTAGTTATTTGTTTATCCTTTCATAAACATGTTCTGATTTGCAGCAGCTGAAGTTCTCTAATATGCCTGTTTTCCAGGTTAGGCAAATATTGGCCTAGTCAGACACTACATATCTCAACAGAAAAATATTAGCATTTTTTCCTTTTGGATTTTAAAAGTATAATCAGCTAATATACTGCCTTTTGTGTTTTTAGTTCTCGAAGAAGAACATTAAGAGAGACTCCTCCTTTGATTAAGAAATGTCCTGAAAACAAACCACAGAAAACATGTGAAAAACCAGCTGAAGGACTTATACCAATACGGATAAAGATTGCTGTGTTTTGTTTAGTTGTTTTCCTTCTCTTTGCGTATGTAACTATGGAAACCAATCCATTCACAACTGTCTTTAGCAGAAAATGAGTGCCACCCTTCTTGAGAGATGGGTGGAAGACCAAGGAAGGCAATTTGGTTAGCTGTTTAGGAACAAGTGATTTCAGTAACTCATTAAACAGCAATTGGGCTAATCCAGTTTGTGTGTGTGTGTTTTAAAGCATTTTTTTTAAATAAAAAAAAAGTTTCTCTAAACTAGAAGATGAGGCAGCATTTGATTCTTTACTATTTCTGTCTTAACTGCATAATTTGCAGGGAGATTCTTAATTAGTTTTATGAAAGCACTTCATCTGGTATTTTGTCCCTATTTTAATTTAGAATTTAATTCTAAATTTAGAATTAATTCTAAATTTAGAATTAATTCTAAATTTAGAATTAATTCTTAATTTAGAACTGCCAGGTTCCATAAATTAAGAAAGACATGCTGAGGTTCTTCTAAGCAGTTTCCTTTATTGTTCCTTGCCTATAGACAAAAACCTTTCCAAATTAAAGCAGACTGCTTGCACCATTAAACACATAGTCTGAGAAATCCTAAGAAGGAACCCTCTTAACCTCTCTTCCTCCACACAAAGTACCGGTATCTATACCTCGCTGTCTTTTGGTCCTCTCGAATGCACTCCCTCCCTCCTGTGAATCCGGACTACATTCTACCACATGAACGATTCTCTTAGTAATTTCTCCCTTCTCCCATCCTTATCTGTAATATATGAAGAGGTCTTCTTGTCCCCCAGTGCAGAGAGCTGTCAAAAAAAGTCACTATTGCAACCACCCAACCAACGGCCCACCACTCTGATGTGTGTGACATGTAAAAAGGGGCCAGAGATCCAATTGTGTGGTTGTGGCTGACATATTGCCCATTTAGGATGCTGTAGGTTATTCTACTAGAGAATGAGGTTAGGTCCAATAAGGTTCGCCTTGATTTCTTAGCTCAATAGCAATAGCACATACTGCTTCATATGCTTTACAGCCCTCTCTAAGTGGTTTACAGAGTCAGCATATTGCCTCAACAATCTGGGTCCTCATTTTACTGACTTCAGAAGGATGGAAGGCTGAGTCAACTTTGAGCTGATCAGAATCGAACTGGCAGTCGGCAAAATTAGCCTGCAATACTGCATTCTAACCACTGTGCCACCATGGCTCTTCAAGCTTTAGCAAGAGCATTCCTCACTTTGTATTGGATAAGGGTGCAGGCCAGTGGTGAAATCCAATTTTTTTTTACTATCGGTTCTGTGGGCGTGGCTTGGTGGGTATGGTGTGGCTTCAGCGTGGCTTGGTGGGCATGGCAGGGGAAGAATACGGCAAAATCTCCATTCCCACCCCACTCCAGGGAAAGGATACTGCAAAATCCCCATTCCCTCCCCACTCCTGGGGGAAGGATATTGCAAAATCTTCATTCCCACCCCACTCTGGGGGCAGCCAGAAGTGGTATTCGCCAGTTCTCCGAACTACTCAAAATTTCCACTACCGGTTCTCCAGAACCTGCTGGATTTCACCCCTGGTACAGGCTACTCTGGCTGGATCTCAAAGGAAGAAGCCTCCTAGGTTACCTCAGAGAGACAATAAACTTACTCTATGAGAAAACGTTCTTGTTAAGGTTTGCAGGCATTGTTTTAATTCACCAAACTCAACACAGAGTAAGCTTTATTGCTTGCTTGCTTGTTTCGTTTTGTGATTAGTATTCTAAATTTGGCATAAGGATTTAATTTCAGAAAAGTTTTTTTCTTAAAAAGTTACTTGTACTATGGTGCTATTGTCCATTCTGGACTCAGATTTTGATCTTAAATGCATGAAAACTGTATTCATAATTGCCTACCAGCTTTACAAACTTAGACTTAAGCTTTTTAAAACTACCTTTTAAAACTAAAAACATCACCTTAAGGTTTAGTTCATCCTTTTTTATTTTAATTGGTAGAAGAAATTGAAATACAAAGTTGATATTACAAAGTTGAAAATATAATCACAGGAACTCATAGATGAGAAGAGCTGAAAAGTTACTCTCTGAAAATGTATTTCCTACAAGTGCCAGGTTCTTTGTGCAATTTCTACAGTATCTAATGAGGTGCTTTATTATGCTTCTCTCCTCCCATCTTTCTAAATTGCACACCTTGTGGCTTTATTCTGTAGCAATAAAAGCACAAGCAGCAATCTAGTTGTCATAGATTTCCAGTGAATGCTTCCTATGATTACCTCTTGACATAAGATTTAGTGAGAAGGAGAGACTGTTTGACACATCTTTACATTTCCATACTAATGATATTATACTATTGCACTGTAATAATGTACATACAAGAATAGAGAAAATATAAATGAGTTTAAATCTAATTTTTATTTATTTATTCATCAATGTTATATGGCTGCCCATCTCGCATAAAAGTGACTCTAGGTGGGTACAACAATTAATTAAAACAATTACAAGGAAAAAAAATTAAAAATCAAACTGGCTAAGAAAGAAGAGTAGATGTTAATAACAATGGAGCTCATCTTTACTTTACCAGTGCCCACGGTGATTCAGGAAGCCAACTAGGCCACGCCCCCATGTCCACGCCCACCCAGCAACTGGTCAGAGAACCGGTTGCTAACATTTTTCAATCCCACCCCTGGCTGGAGGTGATTGATTGAATGAGAGACAAAAGCCTACCCTCATATGGTCAGCGCTCTTGGTTTTTAATTTTTATTTAATTGTTAGTTTTAATGTTTCTAATGCTTTAATGCCATTGTAAGATGCTTGGGGTGATTCTGAATAGTGAGATGGGTTGTATATACATCAAATTCATAAATAAGTAAGTCCACTTAACCTCTTATTTCTAATAACGATAAGAAAAAATGGCATCAAAAATATGTGCATGTGATTGCATTTTGGACCCTTGGCAACTGGCATGCATTTCTGGCTATTTGTAGCATCCTGAGACCACCTGACCATGATTGTCAATGTTTTTTGCTGGTTTCAGGTGTTTACTTCCAGTTTCTGATTTTAAAAAATGCCCATTGGATAAAATGGATTTGCTTAACAACCATGATGTTCACTTAATAGTCACGGTGTTTGCTCAATTGCCACAAAAATATCATAAAACCTCAGGAGACTGTCTGGCATCACTACCCAATTTTAACTGGGTGGGCGACCATGCTACCATTCAAACCCTTAGACTGGATTGCATAGCTTGTCACTGTTACTTTTCAATATATACCTGAGGCCTGGGTGCATGGTCCAGAAACTTTCTTGGAAATGAAAATAATACAGAGGCTGGCAGCTCTGCAGCATGCCAACTTTCTATTTACAATTCTTTTTTCCTTTCAATTTGAAACCACATTTAAAAAAGAGGGAGAGTTGGGACAAGCAGTCTGGCAGATGCCAAATATATATGCTTGAATATTGTTATGCACACAAGCTAGTTTATGCTATTACGATCATTAACTTTTGACCATACAGATTGTATGTTAGAAGTCAACTATGCTGTTAACCCAGTATGATCTCTGGGGAAGGAATATGCAATGTACAGCATGCAATTCATGTTTAATTTACAAATCCAATACATTCTTTTGCTCCTATTCCCATGGAAACAAATGCTGGTCTTTTAAAAAACCCACAATCCTTTCATTTTTGCACATGACAAGCCACAGATATTTAACATAGTTATAATTTAGCTCTATTTTCACCAATCTGTGAGTTTCACTCACACACACACACACACACACACACACACACACCACGTTGCGCAAGAGCTAGCTCTGGAAACCACAGAGCCTCTTTTGTTCAGCCAACGCATCACATCCCTGTCTCAGTGTCACAGTGAAGCATGAGCTTTCTGTGAGAGCTATACAGCAGCTGGAGACAATGAAATCTGCCTTCTTAGCTACATGCAACTATCCTGATAGTGTTTCAGCTTAATAAGCTGCCATCCAAACATTTCCCTGCCACACACAGTGCACTCGTTCTCTCTCCCTTTTCCCCTTTAATAATCTGACTCTTAAATCTTTGGGTTGGAGGTGTTTCCATGGCACTAACTGTTATCCATCCCTACACAAAGCTTCCCCTTTCCCACACCCAGCTACCAGTGAAGGCAAAGGAGGCTCACTTCTGCGTGTCCATGTTATCTGTTGAAAAGGACCAGCTACCCAAAGTCCTTTTTCTCTTTTTCCCCTTCCTTTGTGTCAAGTGTCTAATATTATAGCGGCATGGCTCTTAAGTGACAGCTCTTGTTTGTCAGCGCCGAGTCAGGCATCGGGAAAACATCAGTCCTGCACTGCACACCTTGGATTTTTGTATCGTGACTGAGATGATTGTCTTCCCATGTGATTCAGCCTTTTATTTGGTACTGTCCTCCTTTTTCCCTCATTTATATTTTGAGCTGGCATTTCTCTTCATGGTAAGGTAAGCTCATTTAAATAAATTGTCAAGGACCTATCGCCCTCAATTTCACTGGCGATAACATTTAATGATATGTTTTACCTGAAATGAGATAGTTGCTTATAAAAGCAAAGACTAGAATAATCTTTACCATCGATTCAAACATAGATTGATTATTATTATTATTTTTGCAAACAAGGCTCTCTGCAAGTTTCCCCCTCTTGTGTGGCCTAAATTTCAAGATGCTGCAGAATTGGACATTGGGGTCTGGTTTCTTTAGGATAGAATGTGATTAAGCAGATTTCTAATTTTACAGACCTGGCACAATATATAAAATGGAATTTGAGGAAGCCATTAAGATGCCTTTACCAAGAGTTTCTTTTTATTTTCTACTTCTATGTTTATGTCCATTATGGGTAACTAGAAATAAGGTTAGATCATTTAGAAACAATTGTGGAAATTTCTTATAGATGAAATGCCTAAGCATTTTTTTCTGACAATGAGCAAATTCATCACAGGAATTTATGGAGAAAATGCTAGGGCTCATTCCTGTTCATCTTTTAAATATGGAACTATGATGTGTGATTTTATATATGCACATAGGAAAAATCAAATTTATACTATGCATGCTAAATATAATGGCAATACAAATACACAGATATATTATAGCTCCTGATAAATTTTGAACTGTAAAATGGAGGGATCTATTAAAGCTAATGTGTTCTCCCATCCCCTCCTTTTTTTTCCTGTCAGGGCTCTGTGATGAATAAAGCTTAAGTCCTGGATTCTATCAATTGTTAGAATCCTAGAGTGGACTCATATACGGCAAACTCACTTTTACATTCTGATAGGAATTTAGTGAAACAATTGATCGCACTACTTAATATGCTAAGCGCTTGTATGACTAATACATTATTTTAAATTGAACACATGTGGAGACTTCAGCAATTGGACATTGTCCCTTCTGAAAGCATTTCTATTTGTTATTCTGTGTTGCCCAGCTCACTGGAAACATTGGTGATTGGTAATGAATTGTTTCTCAGTCATGTGGGTTTCACTGGTGATATCAATACCATTTTAAGGAAAGGAGAACATAAAAGAAAGACCTTATAGTTTTCTGCAGTTGTTAAAGCAATACTGTTGCCCGTCATACAGGGTTAAGTACGCATATCTGGGTACTGGATTCAGACTAAAATAAAGGGTTCTGAGTCTTTGAAAGCTAAGCATAGACCTAAAGAATTCTCAAAACAGTATTTTAAATAGCTTTTGGTATAGCTTGCAGGAGCTGTCCAGCAGTTCTGCGGTGGCTCTGAAATTGTTTAAAAAAGCAATGTGGAAGTTAAATAGAAACATTTCTATCACTAACTTAAGATCTTAGTCTTCACTGCCATTTTTATGAATCTTATATAATAGCTACTGATGTTTAATCCAATTTACTGTTACCTTGGCTGGGGTAGGAGCAATATAATGTGAACATAGCCTTTGTGTTTGCAAAGTCTTGCCACTTCAATTACAGTGTCAATGTGACAGGCAAAAGGACTCTGGAATTCTCTATATTGTGGGCAATACAATTATTTCACCAATACACCTGAATAAGCCTTTGTAGAACAACATCTTAAGAACATATAAATTCTATTGTGTTTTCTATTCCATAATTTTATATTTGCAAATGGGGCTTTAATTCGTATTTTAGCATTTTAACTTAGATTAGTTGCTATCAAAACCAGAGCTATTTTAAACATTGCCAAAAACTTTCTAAATAAGCTATATAGATAAGGGGGAAATAGTTACATTTGTTTCTCAATTTTTTAAAAATCTTTTCATTATTGACCATAACTGCACAGAATCATTTATGCCTTTGACTACATCCTAAATTCAGCATTAGCCTAAAATCTCATGGAAAGTTAATATGTGAATATGCAAAAGTCTTGCAGTAAGCTAGAGTAAATATGTAAATCTTAAACTTCTTTGGAGGCCAAAGTGTCATGTATTTCATGCTATCATATGGGGTATTTTAAACCAGCGGTCCCCAACCTTTGGAGCTTGGTGACCCAACTGCGGGGGAGGGGAAATGGACTGGCTGGCACTGGCTGTTTGCACATTCAGCCCTTCAGCAAGTGGCAGGCCAGCATGCACATACGCAGCTCGATTTATATGTGTGGCGGGCTGGTGTGCATGCACATGAGGGCCTGCCACTCATGCAATTTGAGCTGCATGCATGCATGCGTGCACACTCTAGCCAGCCACTTGCATGGCCCAATTCCAAATAGGCCATGGCCCAGTAGTGGGCTTCAGCCCAGGGATTGGGGACCTATGTTTTAAACAGACTATGTGATTAGACTGCAATTGTGGTGCTGAGCCAAAATTATTTCAGTAGCATTTCTATAAATGAAAAACTTCCATTCATCATAAATGAAAAATTTCCATTCATGCAAGAAGCAATGGGTGGAAACTAATCAAGGAGAGAAGCAATTTAGAACTAAGGAGAAATTTCCTGACAGTTAGAACAATTAATAAGTGGAACAACTTGCCTACAGAAGTTACGAATGCTCCAACACTGGAAATTCTTAAGAAGATGTTGGATAACCATTGGTCTGAAGTGGTGTAGGGGTTCCTGCCTGGGCAGGGGGTTGGACTAGAAGACCTCCAAGGTCCCTTCCAACTCTGCTATGCTATTCTATTCTATTCTATTCTATTCTATTCTATTCTATTCTATTCTATTCTATTCTATTCTATTCTATTCTATTCTATTCTATTCTCACCTGTTCAAAACTGTTACTATAGTTCCAGTCCTAGACCCAAAATCTTGTCTACAAGGAGTTTCACCAACACCCTAACAGTTACTTGCCTCTCTGAGTTAATGTTTATACCTCCCTCAAAGTTTACCTTTACCTTGATTAAGCAAAAATTTCCTATGAGCTAGTGTGGCACTTTTTATGCAGGACTTCATAATTTTATAATATTTATAAGTTTTATAATTGTCACTTAGGGAATGAGCAAACCAGTTATGCTTTTATGTTCCATTTTTGAACAGGTAATTCTTGATATCAAAATCAAACCAAAACATTTCTTCTCAGCTTAATACTGCTGAAACCTTATAGTTCAGTCTCCAATGTCTGGCATATCGTCCTTTTTGAAATGCAACTTTAGAGAATTTAAAGAAAGCTGTTCTTATCTAGTGATGCAATATGTATTTTATATGATAAAATTACTCAATATATACTTATAAAAAGATAAGCTAGGCAACTAGATAGGTATCCTGCCATAAGCCATTTAGACCTTAGAGTCTACATGGCACTTAGCCATTTAACTTAAAATTAACTAGTTTAGTTAACTTTAGAAAGTTAGCACCTTCTCTAAGCAAAAAACCAATATTGACATAAAAGAGAAATCAACTTCTCTAAAACTCCAATTACGAATCTAAACTATCCAATGACAAATTTCATAAGTAGATGATCTATAGCCCATAAGTTACATGTGGTCCTCAAATGCCTCTCATGGACTATTCTGAGTGCCTAGATTGATGATCTCACTCTTGCTGACTGAACAGCTACAACAAGGAATATTAAAATCTGAGATAGCATCTTCCTGACTTCTCAAAGAGCAATGTTAAAATTGCCAGGAAGAGTCTTCATACTCATGCCCAATAGCTTATGAACAAGAATTGAAAAAGTGAATTGCACATAAGACTCTGAATATATTTTGTAAAATATCATTTTCCCATTAACTTTCATCACCTAACTGCTTTGGGACAATTGAAATAAGTCCCATGAAATCAATCACTTATTGGGCATACATTTTTATTTGGATTCTTCTTACAAGTACTTCACAATTCCTTCCTGCAGTCTAGCATTGTGGAAAAGGACAGTATTGACATCCTGGAGGAAGAGAGATATGCATTATGCCATCCCCATTTTTACAGTCAAAGATGAAGATAAGAATGTAACAAATACTGTACATGTCTGCTTTTTAAAAATCATAACACCAGGGGGCTCCTGGGTATTCTTTGTCAATTAATCAGGTTCAGCTGTCATAAAATTATTTTTTCCCAAGGAAGCGAGTTTAGGTAATCTGTATCTATCAAAATGCTTCATGAAAACCAAGTATTTGATCATTAAAGATTATTACTTTTCTCTTTAAAAAAATAAAAGAATTATTCAACTATTGTAATAACATTCTCTGACACATAAGAACCAATTTCTCATTTGGTAAACTCTTGATTTTACAAACCTTGATTTCACAGAATCTGGATGTAATGGATAACATCTGTATTTCAGGCAATAGCCGATTTTACCCCAAACAAGAGACCAAGTCTGTGGTTTGGTGAGACAATCAGAACAATATTTGCTACTTCTCCTAAAATGTGCCCATGCTTCTGCATATGCTTCATTTTAAAGTGAAGACTTAGCTAAAGCTGAATGCTTTCTTCAAATTAATAGGTTGTCCAATATCATCATCATCAATGAAACCAGTATCTCCACAACAGATACTAAAGGTAAGGGTTTTTTCTTCATGTATGGACAGGTTTTGCAGCTAAAAAAAAAAAAATCCAATTTGCAATGGAATGAACATTTGGAATTAATGGACATTCCATCCCCTGGCTATTCAATTGAGGATTTATTACATTTGTAGTATGAGAACCTCTGATTCTTCAGATTAATGGAAGACAAAAGAAGCCTCCTGTGTTTTTCAACTAATTCACATTCAATTTGATTTTTGAAAATAGTTTAAAAAAAGTATTGCAGAGGAGAAGCAAGTAATTGAAATTCTTGTGGATAGAATGTCATGTACAGTATTTGCATTATATACCTATAGTGTAACAGGTGTATATCTCATTGTCCTGTCCTTCCCTTATACAATTTTTTTTAAAATTTGATTTATATGCCGCCATTCTCCGGAGACTCACAGCGGCTTACAATGCATTAAGCAATAGCCTTCATACTTTTTGTATATTTATACAAAGTCAGCTTATTGCCCCCACAAACTGGGTCCTCAATTTACCTACCTTAGAAAGGATGGAAGGCTGAGTCAACCTTGAGCCTGGTGAGATTCGAACTTACAGTAATTGCAGACAGCTGGTGTTAATCACAATGCTTTCAGTCTGCTGAGCCACCAGGCCCCTATCTCCCCAGTGATATGTAGCCTCCCATGTTTAACCTAAATCTTTATAGAAAACTCCAGAATGAAACTTTCCCCATTGCCTTTTGAGTAGCAGTACCTGTGTTCCCAATAAAGGAGAGTCAGCTGGAATAACTTGGAGAAATGTTCTATTTTCTCTACCCATATATTTGGAGAAGAACTTCAAAATGCTATTTGTGCTCAGAATGGCAATTTGCCGCAGTCTGCTTGCCATGACCAACTGCCACAGCCAACTCACCATGGCCAACTTGCTGTAGGAAAACTTGCTGCGGGACAAGAGTTACATTAATATCAAAGAAATGATGGAATAGAATCATTAAAGAAAGGATGAAAAAAAAAGGGACAGAATGAAATGTGAATGGCAAAAATTAAAATCATTTTTATTTATTTTAAATAATTAAATAGAATTGTTAAATTGTCCCACAGTGAGTTGTCTTGGCCATAGCAAGTTGGCCGTGGTGAGTTGGCCATGGCAAGTTTGCCACAGCAAGTTGTCCCATTCCCATCCCAGATACTGTGGGTAATTGTAACTCTGAGAATTGTAATTTAGCAATACCTGGAGCAGAGGTGGGTTTCAGCAGGTTCTGACAAGTTCTGGAGAACCGGTAGCAGAAATTTTGAGTGGTTCAGAGAACCGGTAGTAAAAATTCTGACTGGCCCCACCCCCATCTATTCTCTGCCTGCCAAGTCCCAGTTGATCAGTACGAAATGGGGATTTTGCAGTAACCTTCCCCTGGAGTGGGGAGGGAATGGAGATTTTACAGTATCCTTCCCCTGCCATACCCACCAAGCCACGTCCACCAAGCCACATCCACGGAACCGGTAGTAAAAAAAAATGAAACCCACCACTGACCTGGAGGGCAACAAATGTCCAGATCTCATTTAAATGCATAATTCGGTGCATGTGTTAAGCTTACTTAGTAGAAATAGATTCTACTAATAGCAGTGAGTGGATTGCATATAGTATAGAAAATGCAGAACATGTAGTAACCATTTAATGCCCCTAATTGGGACTGGCAAACCCATTGCTAACCGACAGACTTGTAAAGTAAAAAATTATGACTATGCTGATTTACAACAGCAGTTCTAGCAGATCTGGTTACAGTCATTGAATGAATAACCACAGGTCCTTATGTGCAATATAACACATATGTGATTTTCAGCCACCTGCTAGTTTTCCCACTGACTTTGCTGGTCAGAAGCCTGCTGGGAAGGTCACAAATGGTGATTGCCATGTGCTGTGACCATTATAAATGTTAAGCACCAAAAATCACAAACACCTGATTACAGGGACACTGTGACAGCCACATCTTTGAGGATTGGTTGTAAATCTGCTTTTTCAGTGTTATCATAATTTTGAATGGATGGTAAATGAATGGTCATTAAGTGAGAACTGCCTGTATAGGATGAAATCTAAAAATTCCAGTTACCAATTGGCTAAAAAAAACCATTTGCACTAGAACAGTAATGCCTGGTAATTACCATATGTTCCATCCATTGCAACTATTAATCTGTTATAGAGATTTAATATTCAAGTTTGACTTTTAAAATTTTTACATGAAAATGGCTCTAGGATGAATATATAGGAGAGCACAAAAGATAATTCTATCTTTTATCAATGCATATGTGCAGATCACTATGTGAGACTACCTACTGTCTTCAGGAATATATTTTGAATAGTCCCCCCATACATTTCATTTTTATAACATTATTTATGATAGAGAAAATGATGATTATTAATGCCACAGCACCAAATATAGCTCTTCTAACTTGGTTATCTATAACTTGCTGTATATCTACTTTTAGCCAAAAGGCCAACAGCCTATAGTTCACTCCATCTTTGTGATAAGGCTTCACTATGGTCTGAGAGGCTTGCTGGGATGGCTCAGAGGTGTACAAGAGCCATTCCTCTTGGAATATTGAGGAAATGAAAGAGATTCAGGCAGTCCCCAGGCTGCAACTTTTAGCATTCCTTTTCAGGGATCAAAAAATCATGAACCAAGAAAAGAGATGTGGAAGGTAGGTCAGTCAATGCAGTAGATCTAGTGAGAGTTTGAGAGAAAACTTGTTCCGTGGCCTTTGGATCCTGTCTGTTGCTTTTGCACTGTTTACCACAGTGTAAAGGGGGACAGGAAGAGATGAAGAATTATAGCATTAAGGGAGCCTCAGGTGAGCTAAGCATTTCCGGTGACTTTGAAAAGTGATTGAAAAGGTTATTTTGGTAACTTCTTGGCAGGCATTGATTAACATCACCAAATAAAGAACTATGGGTCGAAATGAAAGATTATTTGCTCGGAGATATGACAGTGTCTTAGATCTCATGTTGTAGACACTATTACTAAAGCATGCTTTGGGTCCTGGAATACCTGTGACATATCAAATAATAGTTTCTGTGTAATTTGAATGTACAGTTGGTAAAGTAATTGCAGAATACCTCCAGTAGAATACATTTTAATTTTGGGAACTAATTGAATTGTACACAAGTAATTGGTCTAAGCTGCTATAATTGTTATAACTGGATTTGTACATATTTATTCTAAGGCTGAATAGAACTTCTTATGGTTTGAAAGCTCTTTGTGATTTTTTTTCATCAGCATTTCTTCCATTTTCACCCAACCCTGCCTTGCATTCCAAATGGAGTACCCCTCCTCCTTGCAATTTGCCACGCAAGAGCCTGCTGGAAAACTTCCTGTGCACGCATGGGAGCCATAAAAGGCTTATTCTGGCTCTTGTAATTCAGTGGGGTTTTTTTTTTTTCTCTTTTCGCTTGCTCCCTCCCTCCCTCCCTCCCTCCCTCCCTCTTCTTTAGTTGATTCTAGCCTAGGAACTGAGAAAATACAGGTCATCTTAGTCATTGGGAATACTTTTGCATATGACTGTATTCCAGAGCAAAACCAAAGGGCTGGATTTATTTAGCTGGGGGATTCTTTTCTGCACCTTTTCTTCTACCAACATATAATCTGCATCACTTTTGGATTTACTTCCCACTTATAAAGGACTGCAGCCTCCAGGGAAAACAGAGCACAGATGTGAGTAACCATCCATAAATGCAGTTGGAGGGATTAAGGGGGCAAATGAGAGAATGACAGAGAGATTTTGGAGTTCAACTTGCTATCTTTTTCTTTTGCGAAAGGTCTCATTTCACAAGGATATATATAACAGCTGGCTCTTCAATATTATATGGGGTGGGGGGAAGGCTTTTTGAAGCAACAAACACAAACTCCATGCTGTTATTTTTGCATTTCTCTCTCTCTCTTTTTTTTCTTTGCCTGTGGAGCATCTTTTTTTTTTTTTTTTGTGCACAACTTTCATGAGATCTTAGATTAATTTAAGCATAGAGGTTATCAGCAATTCATCGTAATATTCCTCAGTAGTTACTGAGAAGAAAAACGTGACTTGGTTTGGCAAGCTGTATCCTTGATTTGTTGAAAGTCATTCTATATTTTAAACATTCGGGAATATAGATATGGATGCTATAACCGAGGAAATTGCATTTAAGGATGCGAAGCTGAGTTTACAAGCCAAGAAAGAGATGCATTGGATATGCAGTTGGGATGCAATATATATATATATTTAAACATTTGCTACCCAGGGTGAATTTTCTCCAAGGGCGATTTCAAGCAAAGTACAGTCCTTGCAAAAAGTGTTACTGCAGTGCTTTCAAGAGATGTGAGAGAAAGAGGCAGAAAACACCAAGCTAGGAATGTTATTGGTAGTCATGAAAAAAAAAAAAGCCAAATTTTCTCGCAGAAGGAATTGCATGTCTAAGATATACAAATAAACTATAGGAAGAATTAAATAATCTGATCATATTCAGTATTGAAAGAATATCAAAATAGGAATAAATGATTCCTAGCTATGGAAACAGACCTTGGTTGGAAATGGCACCTGACAGCAAATCTTATGAGCCTGCGCCTCTTTGAATAGAGAATAGAATAGAATAGAATAGAATAGAATAGAATAGAATAGAATAGAATAGAATAGAATTTTTATTGGCCAATGATTGGACACACAAGGAATTTGTCTTGGTGCATATGCTCTCAGTGTACATAAAAGAAAAGATACTGAAGTGGCTTCAGGTACAAGATAGATTGACCTGAACTGCCATACTGAGTATTTTGAGTTCTAACTGGCAAGAGCTATCTTTATACCTGGTATTTTAAAACTATAAATATATTTTATGATCTTTTGCATGCAGAGTATGTACTTAAATACATTGTTCTATGGTTACTTCCCTGTATCTTTACACGAGAAAGGAGTTATACCAGAGTGAGATAATATTATATAGTCCAGATAGATAAATCCTTATGCAAAAGAATGGTCACAAAATTAGCATCAGAAGCAATACTTAAGAGGCAAGCAGGAGAAAATGTCAACCTTCCCATGACATTCTGTTTCAGCCCTTTTTTAAAAAAGAAAGTCAGATTGGAGAAAAGGTGAGTTGTAACTTATCAAGTGTTTAATTCTGTTATTTAAGGCTTCAACCTAGAGACTTATTTTTAACCCCACTGTAGGTGTTAATTAATTCAGCAGTGAAAGGTTCCTTATAGTGAAAGGCACTATGAATGATCATTGGGTTTGGTTTCTACACTTCAAAATAATACCCTGTTTTAAGTTTGATTTTCCCTCTTATTTTCACGGCCATTATTTTGTTTTCCTCTTATAAATTAAAAAGGAAACTTCTTTGAGGTTGATTTCAAGTTATTTCATGGCTGTATTGATGTATTGATTGACACAATACATCCACCACAGCATGGGACCATTTTTGCAATGATTTTTGACCTACCCTATAGCTTTCTCCTCTATCTAAGTACTAACCCGGCCAAACCATCCCACTAAAACTAGACAAACTTGGCTTGTTCAAACCTTTGATCTAATAACAGACAAACGCATTGAACATTCTTTTATTTTAACACTTTGTTATTTGATTTTTTTTCATTAAGAACAAATGAATTTGATAATTGAACTGGCCTTCTTCCCTAGCCATTCTTTTCCTAGTTTGGGTTGAAAATCCCAATTATTGCATTATAGGCAAATGAAGTATTCTGCAAGGGAAAAAAGCCCCACTAATATTTCAAAGTTTAAAACATTGTCCATCAAATTCATGTATGTATGAATTCATATATATGTATGAATGTATGTACACATAGTTAACCCTTTTAATATAGGTCTTTCCTCTGTTCTATATTACTCTCTGACTTAATCATTGGGATGAATTTATTCTAGGGTGCTTCTAGGTGCTTGGTTAAGAATGTTATCAAACACCTGGATCTTCTTGGGCATTGGGAATATACTTTGCAGAAGATGGATGGTTAGGAGAGCAGCTTTCACATACTTTAGTATTTAAAACTAAGGTAATTTGGATCTAACTAATAGTTGGATGGGAACACTGGGGAATTTGAGTGCTATTGTTATACCGGGAAGTTTTTTAAAAGAAAATGTTCATAAATTACTTCAGTAATGTTGCCAGAAATGATATGTATGTGTCCAAATGTTAGGGTGCTCCTACACTGGAGGTTTTAAGGAGCAATTGGAGAACCACTTCTCTGAAATGGTATATGGTTTCCTGCTTGAGTAGGGGAATGGACTAGAAGACCTCCATGGTCCCTTCCAACTCTGTCATTCTATTAAGTGCTTTTATATATAGTGCATTCAGAAAGTATTCAGACCCCCTTCACTTTTGTCAATTGTGTTATCCTGCAGCCTGATTCTACACTTGTTGAAATTCATTTTTTTCTCTCATTAATCTACACTCAGTACCCCATAATGACAAAGTGAAAACAGAAGTCTATATCTATAAAGCATGCTATTAATCTACTCACTTTCATTCTAGTTTACCACATTATCTTTTTTGGAGATGGGAAGAAGGAGAGATGATCTTCCATATGTTGTAATCAATAACCCTAACAATTCCTGCCAATATGGCCAACAGGTTCTTCAATGTTAATGCATCTTTACTTATGAATTAGTAACTTATATCTGATGCACATAACTGCTGGAAAATCAGCAATTTATAATATTCTATCAAGTAAGAATTTATAGAGTCTCCAAATTTGTCTACGGGTACAAATGTGGGCAGGTTTCCATGAAGTCAGACATGCTAATTTATCAAAATATTATATGTGTACTATAATTCTTACTTACCAATACTATAAAAGCATCTTGGATCAGCCCACAAAGTATCTTTGGAACAAGCCTTGGAAAAATCTATCTTAAAAGCATTTTACATTCAACATGTTACATTTCTATGGTGTTATTTATGGTGTTTTCATTAGTTTGCCACTGGCTATCAGTTAAGGATGTGTTCTGAGTCCTGAAAATACTGCAGGGCTTAGAACTGGGATTGTGTTTATTTTTTCAGGGTCATAACAGGTAAGGAAGTGTTGATAGAGGTTCTTCCCTGGTAAGAAAAACGTAATAATATTCCCATTATATTTTGGTATAAGAGAGATATTTGGAAGGGGCAGTGAGGAAAATATGTGCTTTTTTGTGAATTATAGTTTAGCAATTGTCAATTAAAAAGTGATAATATATACAATGTTGTTATACATCTGTATTTGTGAGTGTTCTTGAATTTTTTTTCAGGAGGAAGAGGTAAAATACAAATTCAGAAATCAAATAAACCAAGCCAAATAGCGGCTGATGATAGCAACAAAGCCTAATTAATTTATCTATGGATTTTATTTAAATGTTTATAGATTTTATCATATTAAAATTGTCAAGGTCCCACAGACCAGTCAAAATGAATTTTCTTATCGGAGGAAGTTAATATTTAGTAATGCCATCTATTCTACTTGTAAGAAGGATCTCTTCTCCATGTGTGACTATAGTATTGTAGTTAGCAGTATGGTACAACTTCAGTTTAAGAAGTCATTTGAGGGGGGGGAAAGGGGTATCTATTAAAGCAAATGTCCATTCAAACTGACATAACTGATATTTGCATCAATTTACATAATTTGAACAATTTTGTATTTCATATTATTTATCTGATTGGCAGATAGGACTTAAATGCCATCAATTGTTTGAACTCCTGTGGAAAGAATAGACTTGGTGTGTTATTTGGGGGTGAAATTTCCACTGATATTTTATCCATTGCATCCGAAACGTGCTGAATAGGAGTTTGTAAAACTGAATTTTTATTGTATAGTAATTGAATTTAAAAAGCAAACAAACAAATAAAGAATTTAATTGTTTTTTTCCCAATCTTATACATACTTTATAAACAGAATACCATTACTTAAGGCCAGATTTCTGCCCAAGTTGTTAAATTTATTTAAAATAAACAGTTCACCCTAAAACAAGGTCAGATGAGTATTTGGAGCCAAAAGGCACATCAGTTGACACAATAGCACATGTTGAGATCATATTGTGGAAATTCTTGAAAAATTGTTGTCTTGGTGGGTGTGGCTAACAGGAATACTCTTCTATCAGAAAGTAATTTGGTTTAAACACTGGAAATTAAAATGAATTATTCTATTCATCCTGCAGTTAGTTTTACAGTGATATAACATTCCCTTTGCAAAATAGAAAAAAACAGGAGCACTAGACTAATTCTTTTGTTAACATCAACAAAAACTATCAAGCACATGCCAATTTATCTTCTCATTTTTGAAAACATGAAAAGTCTGGTGCTTTTTTAAATAAACCATTGTGTGATTGTTGGATACAGAGCAATATATAATCTGGGCCAATGCTTATTCTGCAATAAACCAATCTACTTCATTTAATGAAATGAGCTCTGGTTCCTGAGTGTATGGAATAATAAATGTGCTATCTAAGAGGCCGGGGATTAGATATTATTGTCATAGCCCAACAGGACTGTCTTTTTAAAAATACCTCACTGCCATCCTTGTTTTTTCATGATCTATTTAAATTTCGGTTCTACAGTTTACTCATTTTTTCTGGATTACATGTATGAAGCTTTTCCTTTATCTTACCTGCGAGAACAGTTGCATGCCAACTTGGTGGGAACCCCAGTTACACACATGTATTTGCTTACATCTTTAAAGCCACTTAATTTCTTCCATCCTAAAGAAAAAAAAATCTTGTCTGGGAAGAAAGCATTCAGCCTGAGCCTGCTTATGCTCACATGGGGACATTGGAGCAGCTGCTGCTCGCTGTAAGCATAAGCAGCTGGGTCCATTTCTCCCTAACCTCATTTACATACTTGTCAGCTGTTCAGAGCAAGACGGGAAAAATAATCCCTTTGCTTGTCATAGGAGTTCGCAATTTTGACTGTGCCCTAATTAGTGCACCGTTTCCTGGTGCTCACAGCTCAGGGCTGTACTGCACGAGGCAGCAACAATTTATAGGAGATGAAGTAGGTGTGAATGAACCAGGAAGACAAGAAATAGGGGCTTCGAAGGAGGGGCCCAAGAAAGAAGCAAAGCTGACTGGAGGAAAATCTTCAAAGCTAGATAGAGGCTCTGATTTGCATGGAATTTTGGGGATGCAAGAACAAAAGGAATAAATATAACTTATCTTATTATTTAGGATCAATACCCAGCAGACAAAGAAATGGAGGATTAAATGAGAAGACCCAATAAAAGGTATGAGAGTTATTTGTGTATCTATAGAGCAAAGGGGACAACCTCCTCTTGATTTTAGGCCTTCCAGATTGATCCCACAATCAGCATAATACCCAGAGCCAGAGGTTATAGGAGCTGTGGTCTAACATTAGTATTTGATGGGCCCTAGGCTATAGAACCTGTTTAGTGTAGTGGTTAAAGCATTGGACTAGAAATATGGAGACCAGCAGTTCTAGCTCTGCCAAAGCCAGTGACGTGACCTTGAATCAGTCACTTATCTCAGATCTAGGAAGGAGACAATAGCAAACCACTTCTGAAAACAACTTGCCAAGAAACCTGCCAAGAGTTTTTTAGGCAGTCTCCAAGAATTGGATATGATTGAATAAAGAGGGGGGGAAAGGCTAGAGATGGTAGAAAAGTCATAGAAAAGTTAGCTGTAGGACAGAGAGATGCACCCATGAAATTCTCAAGTCTTGTGAAATCTGCATCCCTATGTTTGAACATCTTGTTTGCTGAAACTTTCTTATGTTTTGTTGCAGTATACATGGATTACTAAGCAGATGTTTCCCTGTCCCTGAGATGGAAGTGCCAAGCATCAAAGACTTTCAGTGGAAAACCCTAGCACCTTTGCCCAGTCCAAGAGTCTATTCTTCCCTGGTAGAGGCTGGTGGACAGGTGTTTGCCATCGGGGGCTGTGATGACAATGGTGTGCCAATGGACAGCTTTGAAGTGTATTCCCCAGAAGCAAACCAATGGAATTCTCTGCCTCCAATGCCTACAGCCAGGGCTGGGGTGGCAGTAGCTACACTGGGCAAGAGGATAATGGTGATTGGAGGCGTGGGAGCCCATCAGATGCCTTTGAAGATTGTGGAGATGTACAACATAGATGAGGGCAAGTGGAAGAAAAGAAACTCTTTGAGAGAAGCCTCGATGGGCATTTCTGTGTCAGTAAAAGGCAAGAAACTTAAAAAACTAAAATAAAGTGTGTAGTAGAAACAACTTTAGCTTTGAAGGCAATACCCCGTCCTTGGATATATTTCTGTTTGTAATTGGTGGGTTGAATGCTTTTTTCAAATACAGAGGCCTAGTCTAGTCAGCAAGAAGCTATCAACTTCTTTTATACAGCCACTATTGTCTCATTTTGACCCTTTCACCTGAATTGTTGGAATAACCATCAATGAATTGCTCTGGTTGAGTTTATGTGGTTTTCAACCATCTGGCTTAGAACTTGCTGTGAAGTCTGTCTTGTAATTGCAGTATGGCCTGACCTTTTCTTCTTTTTCTTTTTAAACCCACACACAGCCAGGCACGTTCTGTATTCCTGCCAAATATGGAAGTCGTTGTTTATTCTGTTTGCTTTGGTGAAGTTTTTATAGCTCTCAAAGGACAGATAAATCAGTGCTTTCTAGGGCATGTGACAGGCTGAAGGTTTTTACAAAGCATGGATTGCCAAGATCATTCAGCAGGAATTTATATAGGAAGGTGAATGTGTGCAGTCGAGCGTCACTCTTTTTTCCCTTCAGTATTTTTACCCTCACATTACAACCTGCTTTTGAATGCTTGAATCGTTTTAGGTGACTATTTGCAATGAAAAGTATCAAATTACTGTTATGAAATAGAAAGCCAGAAGCTTCCTTTTACCCGAACAAGCATTTACTTGCTTAAATGGGAGCTTGACTGCAGGAGAGACATGGCTTAGAGAAGAAGTATTTGTTGAAATTTAGCCAAGTGCAATGAACACACATTTATCATTGCTGTTCTGCATGTGAACAACTCTTATTAGATGCAACTAAAGCCATAAATAAATTTATAGCAGAACTTGGTGGAAGTTTTACCCTTAAAGCAATAGTCAGGCTCTTCGATCTGTGGAACATGATAACAATGGATGTGTTCCAGGGATGGGTTCTACTTACCTTTACTACCGGTTTGCAACAAAAGCGCGTGCACGCTCTTGCTTTGCTCGCTCATGCATGCGCTCTTCTACACATGCACAGAAGCTTCTGCACATGAGCAGATCATCAATTATGATGTCCGGGCGGGTAGGCGGAGTCTCCCACTGCTTTTACTACCGGTTCTAAAGAACCGGACAGAACCGGGAGCAACCCATCACTGATGTGTTTCCATTCAGGGATTATTCAGATTTTACCTTTAAAATGCATGGATTATAGCTCAGATATATTTCTGCCTAATAACTTTATCCTTACATCTCCACATATACAATAGGATAAACTCTTCCTGGCCTGCTGAAACTCTAACATCAATTTCATATTTTGTTTCCTTTTCTCTTCCTGTTCCAGACTACCGAATCTATGCAGCTGGTGGAATGGGAGCAGATCTACGTCCTCACAATTATATGCAACATTATGATATGCTTAAAGACATTTGGGTGTCCTTGGCAACCATGCCTACACCCAGGTATGCTGCCACCTCCTTTCTGCGGGGCACCAAGATCTATGTTCTGGGTAAGAGTACACCTCAAGCATCTTCCCATTTTGCAGATAACTCTAACCCTTACTTTAATTTGTCTCCACATACATAGTTCAAAACCTGTTTCTTCTTCCTCTGACATCTGCTTAAAATATACAGTGCTGGAAATGTCCTTTGAGTAAAAATGTCTGAGCAGTAACTGTCAGGTTTTCTACTGAAGCCATGGGTACGTGGCTGCATCTCTCCCTCATAGTGGAAGGAAATAGCATTTACATGAATGTCACTTTCCCTGTGTGATATTGTGAGATTAAGGAGCAAGAACCCACAAATAGGCTCTTGGAAAAAAATACTGAAGTGACATTTCAAAATCATCAGTCGTAAAATAAAGAATACTCTTGTGAATAGTGTATCCATCAGTTTCAGTCATTGTTGGTGACATCTGTGGCAGAAAATCTAATATTTGTTATGTCCCCAGAAAAGTAAAAAACAAAAAACAAATAGAACCAATTATTAGTCTTGTTTCTGCAAAAAATAAGACAATTTTAGCTCTTTTTTAAAAACCACTTTATGTAAAATCAAGATTACTATGTTCTTCAGTTCTACCAACCTCAAGAGAAACTGGAAAGACTTAACATTTTTTTTTTCACATGGTGTCCAGCTAATATAGGGTTTGCTGTCACGTGTTCAGATTGTATGCTTCAAACCAACTGTAGTCCACAGTGGTCCTCTGGTAATTCCGTCACAAGTGCCCCTCATTCATTAGCTAAAGTCAGTTTGCTGCCTCTGCCCTACCTCCCTGGGCTCACAAACTAGTCAGGAAGTCAGAGCTTGCACATTATCTAAATCCCTCTCCTCTCTTCATTACCAATTAGCAACTTTCTCGTGGCAGGGTATTTCAGGATTGTTGTTTCCATCAAGAAATCCCTTGCTTGAAGGGCAGGCATTTTGCTTGCTGGATAGCAGCTAGCATTATAGAGTGGAAAGAATATATAAAGAGAAAAACCTTTGCAAGAAAGAATTCCTGAGTCTAGTGCTTGAAATATAATCTTTATTTAGGAAATAACATGGTGATAGGAAACTCTGAGTTACTTTAGTCCAGGAGTCAGCAACCTGCAGCTCTGGAGCCGCATGTGGCTCTTTCACCCCTCTGCTGCGGCTCCCTGTCACTCAAAGTATGTGTCACAACCACCAATGTGCGACACCTGCCAGCATGCAATTTATTGAGCTTTTCAATAGCCCTGGTAGGCCAACCATGGATAAATCCAGGAAAAGAAAAGTTTCAGAAGAAAACAGATCATTTAATTCAACTACATATTCTAGTTTTGTGGCTGCTCAAGAAATAGTCAGGCATGGGAAGGGTTTTGTGGCTCCCGGTCTTTTCTTTTCTGTGGGAAACGGATCCAAATGGCTTTTTGAGTGTTTAAGGTTGCAGACTCCTGCTTTAGTCTGTCTTCAGCTAAAATACTGTAGAATGCTCTTGTCCATTATGGAGTGATACCAAATCAGATGAAGCATACAGGTCAGAGACAGTATAGAAAGAAGGCAAAACTGAGAGAGAAGAAAGTGATGGAAACCTGAGAATAGCAGTTAAGAAGATATCAAAGCACTTTAGGCAAGGAAATGGGAGTCCCCCTTCATTCTCACTATATCTATTGCCTCGAAGGTCAGTCATGTTATCAATACAGAAGGTTGGTACACACAAAATTGAATTTGAACATTGATAATATAGCTAATAAAAAGCATTCAGTGACTGCAGTATCTCCCCTACACCCAACATACCTGCTTTCTACAAAGATTAAATCAAAGGGTGATAAGATCTGAGCAGAGTGAAATAATAAAAGGCATCTCTATTTTGATCTAGCTGTTCTCATTCTAAGACAAGAATAAAAAAGTATGTTCTAAAACTTCCAAAGTTGGGCCATGATCTTCTGTGACCTGCTTGAAACAGGGAATCTCTCACCCTCTTCATAAGTCCTGATACATAATACCCAAAGGTTAGTTTTTGGGCCCCCGAGGCAGAAAATCCCACATTTTCCCCTGGCAGTTCTAAACAGGACAGGGGTGAAATCCAGCAGGTTCTGACAGGCTCTGGAGAACCGGTAGCGGAAATTTTGAGTAGTTCAGAGAACCAGCAAATACCACCTCTGGCTGACCCCAGAGTGGGGTGGGAATGGAAATTTTGCAGTATCCTTCCCCTGCCATGCCCACCAAGCCACGCCCACAAAGCCACACCATGCCCACCAAGCCACGCCCACAGAACTGGTAGTAAAAAATATTGAATTTCACCACTGAAACAAGATGCCATCTATCTGCAATATAGGCAATCTCTGTCTCGTGGGTTTTGATGAGTAGGTGAGTTGTCTTCTTGATTAATAGAAGCAAATTTTGTCAACTTCTTATACACTTCAGTATGGTCTTAGAATGAGAGTAAATTCTGTTCCCATCTACACCAGAGCTAACACACTGTACTGAGTACCAAGCAGGGCTGGGTTCTACTTACCTTTACTACCGGTTTGCATCGCGCCCGCTTCTGCATTTGCACAGATCACCTATTATGAGGTCTGGGTCAATGGACAGGGTCTCCCACTGGTTTTACTACCAGAACCAGTCTGAACCAGGGGCAACCCATCACTAGTACTAAGGCATGAGTAGATAAGTGCTGACTGGGGAAATCTGGGACTTGGTCCACACCTCTTAAAGTTGTCCAGTTTGAAAATGAGCAGACAATAGTTATCAAGCTTCCTGCAAGGGGAGAGCAAGAGCAATAGGAGAGGAAGTGAGTTTTAAAAAATTACTAAAGTAGTTACATAAACAGAACTTGCAGTAAAAGGATTCTTCTGGCTTTCGTTTGTTCATTCTTCCTGCAGCTGGTAAGCATGCTTAATCCTTCTTGGATGATTTTAAAGCAGATATATTTCTACAAATCTCAAGATCTCCCAGATGTGCTGACAGCTCCCTCTCATTTCTTACTTTTTTATTGCTCCCTTTTGGCTCCAGTTCTGTGTTGAGGGAGTGATTACCCACCATGTCTTGATAATCATTTTAGTTAAGGCCAACTGTAAATATAAAAGAATAACATCACCACTGGCACCCCCCCCCCAACAGAACAGAAAATAAAATCTATTATCAAAGATTAAAATGTTGCTAATCAAAATGTAATATTGTATATTGGTGGAAGCTACTATGACATGCTTAATGATCATAACTGTAACCTTGAAGAAAATATGCAATCCTTTTGAAGCATAATTGATAGGACTTCTATGGAATAAATTTATTATCCTGCAACATCACATACTTTATGCCAAATATACAGACAGCGGTTTGTCTGATTTATGAACTTAAAGACTAACAGTTCTAAGAGTAATCATAATGATCAGTTGTGCCATGTGATACGTTAGCTTTATAACTGAAATGTTGAAGAGTAGCAGAAAAATCTGTTCAGCTGAGTGACTATCCAGAGAAAATTGCTTAATGAGGAGTAATTCTTTTTCCAAATATTTCATAGGTAGTCGGGTCTTGTTATTTCCTAATACTGGTAGGATGAGGAACAGGGGTGGGTTCTACTTACCTTTACTACCGGTTCACAACGGGATCGCTTCTGAGCATGCGCATGATGACATCTGGGGCAGTGGGCGGAGCCTTCCGCCGGTTTTACTACCAGTTCTTGCGAACCGGTCTGAACCGGGGGCAACCCACCACTGATGAGGAATAAAAGGACATAAAACTGAGTTGGTTTTTCAGTAGCCCAGAGAATCCCTTTCCCCTCACTTCTAATATCATCCCTTTACCTGATTTTCCTCGGTTCCCATTCCCTGCTGCTTTCAAAATGATGAAGAAATAATCTTGGGATGAAGCCAAGCTGATCTTTCATTACAGTATCTGCTTTTCTTTACTGAAGGTGGAAGGCAGTCCAAGTATGCTGTGAATGCCTTTGAAGTCTTTGATATTGAGACCAGATCTTGGACCAAATTCCCCAACATTCCCAGCAAAAGGGCTTTCTCCACCTTCGTTTGCACAGAGAACAACATCTTTAGCCTTGGGGGGTTGCGGCAGGGCAGATTGTACCGTCAGCCCAAGTTCATGAAAAATGTGGATGTTTTTGACATCGAGCAAGGTGAGTTCTTCTGCGATTGCCCTCCAAATTCCAATGTGGCTAGGCATTAAGATGGGGGAGAACAAGCTTTTTTATAACTAGTAAAATGATTCCTCTTTTTCTCTGTGGTTTGCTAGGGATATTCAGCAATACAGTTTGGGAAGATTCTGAAAGCATAAAAAGCGGCTGTATATACCAGAGGTGGGTTTCAGCAGGTTCTGACCAGTTCTGGAGAACCGGTAGTGGAAATTTTGAGTAGTTTGGAGAACCAGTAAATACCATCTCTGACTGGCCCCACCCCCATCTATTCTCTGCCTCCTGAGTCCCAGCTGATTGGGAGGAAAAGGGGCTTTTGCAGTAACCTTCCCTTGGAGTGGGGTGGGAATGGAGATTTTACAGTATCCTTCCCCTGCCATGCCCACCAAGCATGCCACTCCCACCAAGCCACACCCATAGAACCGTTAGTAAAAAATTTTGAAACTCACCACTGGTATGTACCTAATGAACTGAAGGTTGCTTACCCAAGCCTTATAATGGGGTGTACAATCTGTGTTCCCTGGTTTGCATTTAACCTCTACAAAGTTTGGGATCTGTCCTATTGTTCCTAAAGAAATTACTGCCAAATTGCCATTATTAAATTGTTACTTTGAACTGGGCAGAAAAGAAAATTGCTAAATGCATGAAGAATAAATATATGAAATGTATTTATCATTAATATTAATTTTAATTAGAATAAAATGTACTTCCATTCTTATTCTACCTACTTGTCTCTAGCAAAACACACAAAAGTAAAAAGCAGCCCACGTCCCAAAATGTTATGCATCTCTGATGTAATAAGGGAATTAAGGTATGTAATATAATAGTAAAAACCCTGGATTGCAGCTTTTGATTTCACAACCCAAGTTGAATCCTGTTGTATACTGATCCCAAAATATTTGAGAAGCTCGCCATCTAAATTATCTTTTCAAACCAAGTGTTTGCATTGCAAGGCCTTCATTAGTTAATGTGATAACAAATGTATAGTTTAAGTAGCAAACATTTGTATTCAGCTTGCTGACTGCCCTTTCAAGTATTTCAAGAATCTTATTTATAACAAAAATAGTTTCTCCAGGTGCCAGAAAACTCATTGTTCCAATTGTACTGCCAATTGTTCCTAAATTTATATTAAGCTTTAAAGTTCAGATGTAAAACCTTTATGTGAAATTTATAAGTTTTAACTTAATGGAGGAGATGAGTCTGCGTAGAAGTGAAACAATTTATCATCTTACTGTGAACAGTAACTACACACCAGAGAGAGGGCCCCACATATTATTGAGTTAATGGAGGGGAGCAGCCTTTTATGAGATTCTCTTGAACTTCAGATTGTCATGCTTTTCTAATGCCATGGGCTCCAAATTTGCTGAAAGCCAGGAAGAGGTGGATGTGGAATGTTAACTTTTATATGTTAATGAACCTTAATATTTTAGAGCTCTGTGTGGAATTTTACTGGTAATTGGATAAGGAGATGTTACTTATTTGATTTGCCTATTGTTAAGAAAAAGGGGCAGCGTGGTGGCTCAAAAGTTAAGAAGTTGGGCTTGTTGGCTTTAAAGCCGGCAGACCAGGTTCGAGACCTGAGCAGCACATGATGGGGTGAGCTCCTGTTCTTGCCCCAGCTCCTGCCAGCCTAGCAGTTCAAAAGCATGCAAATGCGAGTAGATAAATAGGTACCATTTTTGTGGGAAAGTAAAAGCGCTCTATGATGTCATGCTGGCCGCATAACTGCAGAAATGTCTTTGGAAAATGCTGGCTCAATGGCCTTGAAACAGAGATGGGCATTGCCCCCCATAGTCAGCAACGACTAGTGGAGTATAACCCACAGTGACTCCTTTACCTTTTTTTTTTTTAATTGCTAAGAGATGGTTATGAGATGAAGTTTTATATTTATTAATTGAGAGAAGACGAGATTATGAATTTTTTAAATATTTGTTGTGATGAGGGTGCTGCTTTTTTAAAGAGGGGCTCTTATAAGAGCCGAGGTGGCACAGTGGTTAGAGTGCTGTACTGCAGCTACTTCAGCTGACTGCTAGTTCAGCAGATCAGCAGATCAAATCTCACCGGCTCAAGGTTAACTCAGCCTTCCATCCTTCCAAGGTGGGTAAAATGAGGACCCAGATTGTTGGGGGCAATATGCTATTTAGTATACTGTCGATTGTTGTAAGTCACCCAGAGTCCTCGGAGAGTGGGCGGCATAGAAATATGATTAATAATAAAAATAAATAAATAATAATAATAATTTTTCCTTTTTGCCTTCTTGCACTTTTTTCTTTCATTTCTTTTTTTAGTTTGCATTATGTTTTATTGTTATTTCTAAACTGTTTATTAAAATTATTATTAAAAAAAGAAACCCAGGATAATTTGTATGTTGATTCTCCCCATTCCTCAGCAAACTGGTATCTTTCCTCAGGCCTGCCTCAAAGGAGCAGAATTTCTCCGATAATAGTATATATTCAATGGGGTTGACTAAAGAGGGCCCCTACATTGCTGCACTAACTATTATTACCATAATAATTTCCCCAGAAAACAATGTCCATTTTTGCACATCATTGCACTCTGCAGAAGTTACAATGGCAAAGGGTGGGAAGTCAACTGAAAGACTTGGTAATCATGTCTGTACCAAACAGTAAAACAAGTATAAGGGGAAGGGAAATAGGATATAACAGAATGTATCAGTGGAAAAAAATATATTGAGTTATAGACATCTAACATGTTATTAACTATGAAAAAAGTCAAGATCATTTAATATTGAATCAGGTTAATTTTCAGGGGGCTGGATGAAGATCGATCGCTCATTTTTTCTGAAGAAACGACGGGCAGATTTCGTTTCTGGATATTTAAAAGGAAGAATTGTTGTTGCAGGAGGACTAGGTGAGGATTCCCCACCCCATCCCTTTGAAGTGAATTCCAGTTTGAACTATATTTTCCTGAAACAGTTACTTCCAGTTTTCTTTATATTGTGAATAGGAAATAGGCCTGTCCATGAGTCTACTTCAAAACGTCTCCAATAGTCCTGCTCTTATTAGTGACAACCTGCCCATTCCATGCCTATGGAGCCAATAGGGAAGCAGTTAGTCTTGAAATGAGTTCCTTCCTAAGCATGAAACCCAGAAAGTGCAGGTTAGAGAACTCAAGTGATGATTTCTGAGTAGAAAGCCACAAACTTCAGATAAATATGTCCAAGGCAGCAGACGATGGTCTAGAAAAAAATGATTATTCTAGGCAAGGTTGAGAGAAATAGAAAAAAAAAAAAAGAAAGATGGATGGATGAAATTTCCTTAGAAGAGCTTTGTATTATTATAAAAGTCTAGGCATCAAGCGTATCTTTACGTCTATAATTATCAGGAATAAAACTTGACTTAGTAATGCTAAACTAAAATCCATTATAGCTAAAATATTCTTAATTACAAAATGAACTGGAAAATTGTATGTTTTAATTGTGTGAAGTTTGGGTCTGGGAAGAGAGATATACAAGATTTAAAATAGAAAAACTAGAAATAGTTAAAGCAGGGAAAAAAATCCACACAAATCTTTAAGAGCTTATACTGTGGACAGTTATGATAGCCAAACTATCTGAAGAAATGTTTAAATTCACAATTATTTGTGCAGCTGTGAATATGATACAGGACAAATCAAATCAATTTCTTCTGTAAAGTGAGAGAGACAACTAAATCTATATTCAGGGATAAGAGGAGTGTGGGTTTGTCAAAGCAGAGGAAGAAAATCACCTTTTTCTGAAACTGCTCTTTGAACATGGCATGTAATTAATTCTGTTTTCTGTCTAGGAGAATAACAGCATTAGAAATCCAGCTGATTTAACTTGCTTTCTGTGGTTTCTTAAAATCAATTAGTTAAGAAACAGCAATAATTTTTCCAAAAATTACAGTTCCTACAGCATTTTTTTCAAGTTTGGGAACTTGAAGATGTGTGGACTTCAACTCACACCAGTCTGGCTGAAGAATTCTGGGAGTTGAAATCCACATATCTTAAAGTTTCCAAGCATATATCCCAAAGAATATATTTTCCCCAAATATGCATACATAAACACATAAATACATATACATGTATATCCTTTTTAAAATAAGTGATCAGTAGAATGTTTATTGAATGACTTTGGAATTCTGTGCATTTTTTTAATCTGTCTGAAATCATATTTTTCTCTAACCAGGAAATCAGCCAACTGTTCTGGAATCTGCTGAGGCCTTTCACCCTGGAAAAAATAAATGGGAAAGTTTACCACCTATGCCTACTCCACGGTGTGCTTGCTCCACCATTGTGGTAAAAAACTGCCTTCTAGCAGTAGGTGGAGTGAATCAGGGTTTGAGTGACGCAGTAGAAGCATTATGTGTCTCTGATTCCTAGCTGGTATGTCATTGGATGCTCATCATTCACAGTGATCTACAGACCAAGAAATAGTTTTGCAGCCTTTAAAGCTGGGCCAGTGTCTTCAGTATGTGAAGAGTTTTCCTTCACCATCTCTTGCACTGCCTTGCTTTCCTCTAATTCCCTTTGTGATGTCCTTTGGAGACAACAAATTCTCGCTCCATGTAGCTGCACAACTTTGTGGTTCTGTCAGCTGGCAGAAGCTCTTTCCTAGGATGATGTCATTTCTGCAAGCATTATGGAGCACCACTGACTCATGAGTTTATAGGGCACTTCCATTGTCAACTCTGAATGGCTGAAAATCAGGCCAGTTTTGTAATGGAGTAGTCAAGGTTCATAGCCTAACAAGAAGTTTCATCCAAAGATGAGGAAGCATATCATCTAGGACTGTGAGAAGATTTTGCCTTCCTCTGAAATATCATGTACTAGTAACAGCTGTTGAACAAAATCCTTAAGATTCTGTGCTGGGCTTTTCCAAATACTTTTTGAAAAGTAACAATGGAAACAACGAAGGGAATCTCACAGAGCTAGAGTGCAGTGTGCCCCAGCGTTCCTGAGCTCTTAAATACTGCCATTATGGTAATGAATTTAATGTTTTTCTGTGGGGAAAAAACTTGAAGAGTTCGTAATCTTCAAAATTCCCTACTGTGGTATTGGACATACAGGCATTCAAAACATCTTGCATGAATGTCTTCCAATCATGCAGATTATGATATTGAAGTCACCTCAATTTGTGTGAGAGCAACAAACATATTAGCAGTATATTCTGTCATTAGAATAGCAGTTTGTTTTGTCCAAGGGTCTGAAAACAAAAGGTTAAAGGTGAAGAATCAATTTCAGGAGAAGAATGCCTCTGTCCCGGGAACCAAAATATTTCTCCCTTCCATGAGCCTTCCTTCCTTCCTTCCTTCCTTCCTTCCTTCCTTCCTTCCTTCCTTCCTTCCTTCCTCCCTTCCTCCCTCCCTCCCCCCCTCTCTTTGTGTGTGCATCTATCTACCATTCACACATTCTTCAACTTCATTGTTGGTTCCATCTAAGGCACACAAGGTGTGGTTGAGTTTAATATAATTTATGTCTGAGTAGCAGGGAAGTTATGGACTTGGCTCATAGCCACTTTCACATGTCCCATGGCAACAGTAACACTTGGGTGCAGTCTTGCCTGTCTTTTTTTTTTTTTAAAAAAATCTGTTTCATATATTGTTTATTTTACTTAACCTGTAGGGTGAAATTGTCAGTTTGATTATTGATCAGTTCTGGTTAGTTATTAACAAGCAACACAATTAAAATCTATGTTCATATTGTAACTTGAATAATTCCTATGGGCAGTTAGTGTTCTGTTCTTATACAGAAAAAAACACAGAGCCTAACGTTTATAAGAATACTATTCCTAGTGTTGATTTAGCTACTACAGAGCAATCATACGCATACACTAAGGGTTTTTCTGCACTGCAGCCTTAAGCGGCTTAGCTCTTCTGTACATACTATCTGGAAATGAAGCAGGCTTAAGAAATCCATTTTCAAATTTCAACCTTTCATCCTCTTTGGTTATAATGATGGCCAGGTGTCTTATTTGGGTTGTAGTTACCACTGGCCCTGATTGGTGGATTCCTACTTTCTTTATCCCTCCCCTCCCATTCCAGGAATATACTGCAAATTGCTTTCCTTACTGTGGGCAACAGAATTTGAGATTCTGTAGTTTTGTGTGAGCCTCCCCCCAGCCTCATTGACTCCCCTTCCCTTTCCTGTCTGGTACAGCCACCACTTAAAAAGAAGACATTACATTTTTATCATTCCTGCTTCACTTGGCTGCAAGGGAAAACTGGCAGAACTCTTATCAAGTTCACCTGGTTAAACAAAAAAAAAAAGGGGGGGGGTCACATTTCACCAATCTGATTGTGAACTAGTAAAAAAATGAAATAAGAAAAGAAACAGTAGTTCACCATTCTGGTCCTTGTAGGAGGAGGCAGGAGGGTGAGCAGCTCAGAACAAAATGACACTGAAAGGAAGGGTGCATGGGAATTGTGCGGAGTGGGCAATTTAAGCACATTGAAATCCAGGGTGCAGTTGAACAAAATGACACAAGTCAGAAAACACTACTTTTAAGTATTGAAAACAAGACTGTGCATTCCTGCTCTGAAGAAACAGCCAATGGCTTATATTCATGAAGGAAAACCTGTGTTGCTCTGTAAACCAGTCTCAGTCACTGCTCCCATCATGTGACCTGTAAAGAAGTCATATTGCTACCCCCACAGTGAAGGCCTAAAGGAAGCTTTAGATGAGATGATACAGTCACTCAGGACTAGCATGAGAGATTTTATCGTTTTAATGGATGTCCCATCCTCAGATAAGCAAACACAAAGACAAAAATATCAGCATCTTTCAGCCACGATTTTTTTTAACCTCCTTGTGACACTGGCTTTTTAATTATGATTAGGTAGCTTGGTAGTACTATTTTGCTTTTTAAATTTCATAGGATTTTTAAAAATTCTACATATCAACACAGCTCTCGCCATAGTGGTCCTCTGGAAAGCCCAGTTTCCATCAGGTAACTAAATCAGCCAGACGGTAAAAACAGATGACAACAAAATAAAAAGCCCACAGGAATGAAAACTGCAAGGAAAAATTCTTGCATGACATCAGTCTTTGTGAACAGAGTAAGATACTGAAAAAATAAAAGATCTCTGAATGGCATCAAAAACATAAAAATTGGGATGCCAGGTGAAATTGTCTTGGAAGAACATTCCAACTGAGGGACACAATAGTTGAAAACCCATAGTGTTTCCCTGCCATTTATCTCATTTCCAGAAACTAGGGATTTTCGGAAGAGATTATCTTTGTGCTCAGACTGACTCACTTGGGATGATATAATCCTTCAAATACTTGGGTTTGAAGCAATGCAGGTTGTTAAAAGTAAGCATCCAGTTTTTTTGATTTTCAAGATTTATTTATTGTTTTGAATGTATGCCCCACTTTCTGTTATGGTAACAATCAAAGCAGAAACCTTGGAAACCACTGTTTCTATCAGGTAACTTAATTAACCACTCTGACAATTATCAACTAGTTGCTTTGAGAGGCTTAAAAAAGCAGCACTGTATACAAAGCAATTCAGTGGCATAATGTCATCGTCCAGGAGACTTCAATTATCTCTGGCTAGTATAAGTAGTCTCTGCAGCTTTCTGACCCAAGATACTTTCCATGCATATCACATAAAATTTGCAAAAACATGAGAGCACATCATAATTATTTAAAAATTTGGAAGTTTGTCCTTTTTCCCCCTGTGTTACAAAGATGTTCTTTGACAGAGTGTACAGGAAACAAAACTAGATTAAAAGAACACATCACAGTCCAACTCTGTTCCAGCAAAACTGGCTTGATTTTATGTGCAAAATTAAATATAAGGTTACATTTGTTCCTACTGGAATAAATGGGGTTTGCTTACTTTATCAGGTTTGTGGACAGAGTATAAAAAGGGTACCAGAAATATCCAAAGCACTGGAAGCAAATATGAAAAAGAGTGCCCTTTAGATCGGGCTCATTTAAAGGAAATATCCGTGTGTTTTACTTTGCAACTGTATTGAAGTGAATTGCCACTACCTTCTTCTGCCTTCTTTCAGCTTCTCAGACTGCTTTAATTTGAAAGTCTTTGATGATTGCCTATCCTAATCCTGTTCTAGATTCAAAGCCCAGAGAGAATTGTCAAAGTGCTGCTATACAAGAGTAAGCACAATTTACAGCTAAGTTTTTTTAAAAAATCCACTTCTTCTAATTGTAATGCTGCTATCAGAATACCTCTTCTAATTTTCTTATGCAATAGTAGTTGGTCTTTTGCAATTGCACGTCTAGAAGCCTCTTGGCCTGACAGAGTTGCAATCTTAGCCTGGATTTAGTAAAACATATTGGGAATGAAAGAAGACACAAGAAATTGCATGGCAGCTTTAATACAGTGCAAACTGACTGCTTGCTGTGGTTGGTTTTATTCTTCTTTCAAACTGGTAAGAGCTATAACAAGAGCTCAGGATGCAGTACACAAAGGCAGACTTTCCTCTGGCAAGTGGGTGGAACCATCTGTGATAATCTTCTGCCCATAAAGAGCTGGCAGCATCAGCAGATGACGCAAATACTAGCAGGGAAGCCTCTGAAAAGCCCCTTTCCTGCTGCGAATCTTTTGCAACCCACACATCAGAGCGAGGGAGTTAAAAAGATGAATATCCTTAGCTTAAAAAAATAGTTAAGGCTGCTTAGCACAGAAACACATCAGCAGACAAAATCCATCTGACAACATGTCCAGGCTAGGGATTGCTCTGCAATCATTTCCCAAGTTTTAATTGACAGTGATTTTCATTTATAGCATTCCCATATTTTCCAACTGTTGTCCATCTTTTTTCCCTGTACAAAAATTCATTAGACAGGCCAGGGCAGAATAATTTTGCAATGTGCTTTGTACTTGTATTCCAGAAACTATCTAGAAGCATTGCAGATGTTATATGTTTCTTGTGACAAGCATACAGATGTTGGGAAATCTACCAGTTACCATGGTTTTTCAGTGGTGGAACTTCTTAATGGCTCAATAAGTTTATGTTTTCTTATGAGATGTAGCTGAATCAACAGAAAATGTTTCTTATACGCCCAATTGAACCAATGTGTAGTGACCATAAAGAAGAAATGAAACAAAAATCTTCACATATTTAGGAAACAACAGATTAAAACAAAATTTTAACTGGGGAAAGTAGGAAAAACAACAATTTTTAAAATTATTTTCATATATGTGAAAGATTTTAGAATGCTTCAATACAAGGCCGAATCTGATCTCTTTTAAGACTTCTATAAGACCAATCATATTTTCCTATCTTAATATGCATATTTTTAGAATATAGGTCCATACAATACATTTGAAGTCATATTAATCAAATGTATATAATTTCATAGAATACAGCACACACTAATCCTTTCTCAAACATCAAAGGCTTTGGCATGAACATTCTTTCTGAAGTTTTCTTCTGATAGTCCAACATTGATATATCCAATGATCTAATTGCAAGGTGGATAACCGTGAGCACAGATTTAGGGAGGATATAATAAATGAAAGAATTCTTAGATAACAACAGCATGAGTTGCAAAGACAATTGGAAAACAAAGGGCTCGGTTGTGAATAACATCAACAAAATTCAGAATGAGATGAAACAATATAGATTTTGATGAATTGTGAGTCAAAAGCCCAATGACTATCAAGTATCCTAAATAGCACTGAAGCCCTGCTAAGCAGACCTTTCACTATTTCAAGCAAAAGTAACTATACATTAAGCAACAAAAGAATGTATAATATTTCTATATGCAATCCTTTACTGTACAGATCCCTATCATGGCAAGCAAAAACTGCTTTGCCCCAATGTTATGTATTAAATACAACTCTACTATAAAGGCTAGTAATGGGAGGTGTAACTTCTAAGCCCATTTTAGGCATGAAAGCCAGCTGGGTGACTTTGGGCCAATCACTTTCTCTCGCTCCAGCCGATGTCATGGGTTTGTTGTTTTGGGGAAAATAGGAGGAGAACAGAGTATTAGCTATGTTTTCTAATTAGGTCAGACTGAAACATCTCTTTCTAATGTGCTAAAGATATGCATTTTTAGAAGAATTCAGATATATTTTGTCATTACAATAAGGGAAGAAATTATTGATTAAAATAATGAACTATATATTAGTCAAATTGTGTATAGTCAGCTGTGTTTGGCCAGACAGATTAATTTCAAATTAAGGCACATAAGAGCTGTTGGCACATTGACTGCCACATCTTCTTTCCTCAAGGTAAATTAGAGTTAAGAAGCTTATTAAAGGAGTTTTCTGCTAGTAACATAAATATTAGACGTTGGAATTAGTTGGTTTGGTCTTGCCATGAAGAATAATAGAATAATAACTAGTATTACCTGGATGATATAAAAAATCCTGGCAGATCATAGGATACTAATGGCACTTTGGCCAATCTGTTATTTTAATATAGTGGTGGGACTTTGTGGAATTAAAATTTCAGCAATGCCAGCCAGCATGGCAAATGGTCAGGATGTTGGGCTGTAATTCAATTTATGGAAGTTTTCTATTCTGTTGTAGTGCCTTAACTCTATTATAACTTTGTTGTATAAACAGGCATTGAATAATGTATAATAAATGCATATAGTCGTAGATATTCATATGGGTAGCTAAAAAATAGGAAAAACTCAAAAGAACAAAGTGGCTCCGAGATTGCATTCTTGTGAAGCACATAGGACATCTTGTGGATTTTCTTGCCAACAACAGTTGAAATTTATCTCATATCTGGAAC